TTTTTTATTTAAAGAAAAATATTTGTAAGAGTTAAAATGGTATTTTTATGATTATTTTAATTTTTCATAAGATTTAAACCATAATTTTTTATTTCTAACAAAAAATTACCGTTGTCTACTACATTTTCCAAACCACAAATTTATTTCCCGTGTAGTCGTGTGTCGCTCACATTAAGTCAACCACAAGTTGTGTACAAAAATAACGAGAATATTTTTATGAGTCATTATTATTTACGGTACTTTTCAAATATTCGCATTTAGCACGCGCTATAACTTACAAAAACAAAAGTTGTAATATACATGTATAGTATATAGTAGAAGTACAGTTATTGTATTTGTATAGAAAATTCCACGTCTTAATGTCAACAGCTAATTACTTGGCTCTAGCTATGGGTTACACTCATTACCCACTATATAATCGCATATTAGCACGTTTCGGTGATCGGCACAAAGTAAGTAAATTGCAAAAAAATTAAGCTCTACTATTAAAAAATTAGGTAAGTTATAAATTAAAAATTCTTACCTATATGACAACTTTGTTGTAGTAATTATTTGTTTTTGGATTTAAATACATTGTTTGTAGCTAGTAAGTAAAAAGTGAAATGCTATAAATCAGTTTTAGATTTTAAAATTGCTTCTTGACTAGACATAAGTATTTGTTAAAAATTTTATTTTTATTGTATTCGACGACATTTGATGCTTATCATGAAACGTTTTAGAAGAGTTAACCCGTGTTGCTCTTAAACTGGAATTTTCTTGGAATTGGTTGACTGGATAGCAGCTTTGATAAAGAATCCCAAAACTCCTTGATATTGAGAACTGCTCGCAAGCCACTACACTTCAGCCATGAATAGATTCTCAATAGAGGCTCAACTAAATGCGATCCATCTATAATATATAGTTGTTGGTGTAATTACTATACATATTCAGAAAATCTAGGAAAATCGGATATTTACCAGATTTTAATACTTTGTCTCAAATTTTGTATTTCTAACCAAATTTCATGTTCGAAATCATTGCGAAGTGGATAACGCTGCCGTTGATTCTGTGTTATCGAAACAATAAAAGTATACGAGTGTTGCAAAGCCTTCAAACAGGATCGAGAGACCGTTGAAAACATGTCTCGTTCTGGTTTCGACTTCTTCAACTGATAAAAATATTTAAAAATTTGAAGTATGTGGTACTTGAAAATCGTCAGACAAGTGTAAGAGAGTTGGGAAGAGAGCTCGACAGCTCTCGCGAATCCATTTGAATGATTTTGATAAATATTTTGGATATGAAAAGCGTTCTTTTTCGACTCCGTTACAGTAAACAGCTCTATTTAGACTAACTTGATAGTGAATTCCGATCCCACATTCAAGGAAAGTATTATAACTGTCGATGAAACATATAACAATTATCGGAGTGGGGTAAAAAAACGGGTCGAAAACGGGCGCCAAAGCCGCTCAAAAGTTAAGGTGATGCTCATTGTTTTCTTCGATATTCATTGAGATTCTGATGGAGTTGAAGGCCATCCCAAAAAGTGCTTGTGTATATGTAATACTGTTTATTTTTAAACCTGAAGTATCGCGCCTTAAAGAAGTAGTAGACTGAATTCATTATCGATAATTTCATTTACTATTGGTTCGACTACCATTTTAAAAATAGTTTGCTGACACAGATTACTCCTATTTTTTTGAAGCGAACGCCATTCTGTACTTCATTTGAGTAATTTTTATCTCTCACTTGATCTGTAGACCTCAAAGAGATGAAAATGGATGGAATAAAATAAAGAATGTTTCAAAATGTTTCTCTCCCACGCGTCTATTCTCATTTCTTCGAAGTCAACATATCACTTTTCTTTGTTAGAGGAAAATTTGGAAATTTATGGGATAAGTCTCGAAATTCGAAAAATCAATAAATAGATGAAATATAATTGAAACCTCAACTGGTACTTTTGAGCTGACTTTCTTATAATTTCCATACTAGAAAGCATCATATTGTAAGTATTCTTGAAACAGCACAATTTTTTCTAGCAATTTTTCCGTTTTGTTCAACCTAAATCCATCTCTAATATGTACCCATAGAATACTATAATAATGTAAAAAGAAAATTATAATTAAGTAGTTTCATAAAAATTAAGTTTTCAACAACTTTCGATATCCATAAAAATGCCTAACATATTCTGATAACCCGTTACGCACAATTGTTACTTTGTATCATTAAATACAAGTAACTAAGATTAATACATTTCAAAAACACACGTCAGCGCATTGTTCTGAAATTGATAGGAACATAAAATTCCATTTATAGATAATAAAATGGTTGAAGAAATAAAATTTTGCAATTTCTAAACAACACTTCCTGGAATGCCTGTTGAAACAATGAAATTATGCAAAAATGAGTAAGAAATAAATGATTATTATTAAAATAACTAAATATAATATTAACTCGTACTCACCTATCACTCTGATAGATTTCCACTGAAGAATTCAACTCAGCCAATTGTTCTTTCAACAACTGTAAATTCGAATTGACGAAGCTCAACTCGAGTGCGACTGTGTCGCGCAGCTTGCGATTTGTGGTGGCCTACAAATACACACAGATAAATAAAGTACAAGATTAGTAATGTTTGTTTACAAGCTACTAAACAAAAAATAGCTATGTGCATATATAATGGCATAAAATCACTCACTTTAAATAGGTTTTCAGCGCCAGCGCGTAGTCGTAGCTCCTTGTTGATTTCCTGATTCAATTTGCAGCGACGACTTTGTAACTTGCCACGGCATGTGGCCGCACGCGGATCGGAGCCCTGGAGAATGAAGAAGAACGGAAATAGATTAGTGATTAGTAAACTAATTTTTAGAATAAGGTTGTAAAATATATTTTGATATATTATTTTTTAATTTCAGTAGCACGGCGATGAGTCATCAAATTCTATAATTTTTGCGGATATGTAGCATACTGAGCACGTTAAGGGGTCACACGGGTTCCTCGGGTTAAAAACAGCCTTTTATGAAAACTTTTTCTTTATATAAAAAATTAAATATTTTATTAGGATTTTTCATTGTAACAAACACACACTATCAGTAAAGAAATTCTGAAACGTTTTGAATAAAATATTCTAAACTCCGCCATTGCGACGACATTTCCAGTGACTCCACGGAAAAAAATGTGACCCATTTTTAATTAAAACCATAACTTAGAACTTGGATGAAGGAAAAAAAAACAACTGAAAATTTGGTTTTTGGCATGTTGACATTAAAAAAAAAAAAATAAAATTTCTGAGAAAATTTCGCGAAATTTTTTTCAAATAGTTGTAATCGAAAAAAATCTTTCGGCCAAGTTCTTAAAAATTGTATCTCAAAGACCTGTGTAAAATTACATGAACATAGGTTGAGTGTTTCTCGAGAAATCTTTCCAATCGACTTCCAAAACACAGTTTTGAGAAAAACAGTGCACTTAGCCTAGCTAGCCTCCAGCGCATAAGTTCTCAAGGCTGTATCTCCAAAACTATTACTCGGATCAACTTGAAAATTTAAAACAACACTTTAGAGGTGTTGTAGAATTCAATAAGATAATAAAAAAAAACCCTGAAAACCCATGTAACCCCTTATATATCCTTGGGGCAAATTAATAAAACCATTTCATGTTTAGGTCGAAGAAAAGTTCGTCAAAAGTAACGAATATGATTTGTACAGTTTAGCTGGAACAATTTGTTCAGTTATCTGAAGCCTTCAGAAAAATGTCAGTCTAAAAAAAAGTCTGATAAAGATTTCATCGACAGAATTATTATTTTCAAAAAAAGATTATAGACTACTGTAAATAAGAAAAACAGACAAGCTTGCAAAAACTTTTAACATGCCTGCAATTAGCTGACTAAAGTACTTCGATTTACTATAGTATAAAATATAGATTTTGAAGTAAGCTCCTTTGCTAACCTCAAAACGTTCAAGTTTCGATCTATTTCTACAGAATATATCGGTATACACATTCCTCACTCTGAAACTAATATGAATAACTAATAATGAAGTTTAATATAATGATCATTCCTTGATCTCAAAAATAAAATTTTTCTACTTATGACGTTCTTGCAATAAGCAAACTATTTGCTTTGGTATATTTGTATACCATTTTTCAATGTTTAGGACATATGCCACGTAAATATAATAATAATATATTTAATTCTTGAGCTTTACAACGGAACCAATTGACTTATGCCTGCCTATAACAGTCTAGTTATTACAGTGCCATACAAAGCTTTGCCCTCCAAAAGCCGCCGATTAATGCAAAATTAGTCTAAATGAAAAATTATGGTGAACACAACTCAACTTTTGCCCCACATAACAAAGTTGAATGGCATAACCATGTTAGAGCACGCACTTACACACAGGCACACACACACATACATAAATACATATTGGCTTGTAAGCGTGTTTGCGGATGGCCACAAATGTCAACTGCCAAAAATGAAACGCTGATAAAAATAGGTACAAAAGCTGCACAAGCAGATATGTGCATATGTATGTGTTTATGTAAAATCATGTAAACAGAACGAAGCAGCAAAAAAAGTGGTAATACCTACAACCACACTAGCAGCAGTAACAACAAAAAACACAGAGCCAGCGACTGACGAACGTCATCGCATGCAAATGGCAATCAAAGACACGACAACAGAGGCGACACTCGCAACAAAAACAAAATGCGTCGTGCTATAAACCAACAACAACGCTCTGCACAGCACCTAAACAGCGCCACACCAGAAAGCCAAGAGCAAACCAAGCGCACCAACAACTGCCGACAATTGTTTATAGCGAACCATGAAAAATCACAATGCCGATTGGTAAAGCGTAAAATGTAAATAGAACAACAATAGCAACTACTATGTGTGTGAGTAGTTGAACAGCATGTCAAACAAAGTGTAACCGCAAACTACTGTACACACGTATGTATGTGTTTATGTATGCATGTGTGTGTCTATTTGTTTTGTGGTGCAACCATTTGTGTTATTGGTGGCTGCCAGTTGAATGAAAAGTTAAAAAAAATCGTGGCGTCAAGACATCGAGCAAACACAGTTAAGAACACAAAGAAGGTTGTTGACACTATTTACATGTATGTTGTTGGCGAAAAATGTTGTAAAATACGCAATTACCGACATACAAACAGAAATGTGTATTTATTCATAAACTTCTAAAGATTGATGTTACATACATATATACATACACAGACAGCTTCGTAAGGTACATCGGTTTTTCTGTTCAAAACACCCACAATTACATATGTACAGTACATACATACGTACATAACACATATTTGCCAAAGTTGTAAACTCCAAGCACAATACTAATTTCTTTAGCAAACAATATGGCAATGGTAAACAAGGCGCTCGGCATAGAAATGGCGATAATAGCGATTGCCTATATCTGTAATAACATAAAAAATTATGATATGAAGAAAAAAAATTAAAATTATATTATAGCAAATATTTAAACCACGGTACATCGACATAGATATTTTTATGCAAATAAGTATGTATACTCTTGCATATTTTTATGTTTATCTTTATAACATTGAACATTTATGCAAAATACCTACATATTCAATCTACATATACACACAAGTACATATGTATATGTATGTAAATATTTGAAAAACTGTTGTCGTTAACGAATATGATCATTAAAAACTTTAGCAGTTGTGGCAAGTTTCATAGAGTACTAGAAGAGAAGTGGAACAATTACGAAAGTTGCTTGATTTGAGAAAAAGAAAAAAACAGAAGACTAAACATGACTGGAATATAAAATTTTTATTAAAAAAAAGCCGAAAATTATCAAAATTTTAGATATGTAATTATCATTAAAACTAGGCCACATTCAATATTTTTATGAATAAGGTCGTAATCTGAGGATTTGAGCGCGCAAAAGTTAGCCAAGTCAGATGGAGCTAAATTAGGTGAATACCGTGATTGTGGCACGATATTGATTAAAAATTTGACGAAGAATCAATGATGGGGCATTATCGTTGCGTAAAAACCATGAGTGGTCAGTAATTGTATTTAGTATCTCTTTACGAATAGCTTCGCGCAAATGACGCATATCACTCAGATAGTAGTCCTTCTTGATGGTTTGGCCGGTCGGAAGAAGTTCGGAGTACACTACAACTCGATTATCGAAGAAAACTATCAACCTAACCTTGACCAAATTTTTTTGGTCAAGGCTTACCTTTGCACGATATTCGGCCGGTTCCGGGTCGTAAGCGGACATCCAAGATTCATCGCAAGAAATATTATGTTTCATGATATCGTGATAATCGTAAAACATTGTTCCACAGGCACGAGACGCTGTTTTTCGAAAAAATTTAGTGATTTTGAAAACAATCGTGCTTTCACTTTTCTTATGCCCAACTGATCTTTCAAAACGATTTTCACTGATCCTTCTGATATTCCAACAATACCAGTAAGTTCTCTGACTCTTAATCGTCAACTCTCAAGCACTAATTTCTGTATTTTTTTAATCAACAGTTGATGTTGATGGCCAGGTCCAGGACATGGTTCGTCGTCAACGCGTTCTCACCCTCAATAGAAAAAGACTTGCTCACGAAGAAAATGGCCGAATGCATTTTATTTATTTCAGAAAGACAAGCGTACACTGAAGACTAATGATTATGGAAATATATGAATCCACAGGCATAGTACAAAATGTTCGTGTGCCAGTGAGGAAAGAAGTGCACATCATGTTGAGAATATTACTGCCGCTGGCGCATCAATTGAGGAATACCCAAATCAGTCTTTCACATGTGGTTCTCAAGCGTTGGGCATCTCTGCGACGTCGTTGTGACGAATTTTGCGAAAAGATCTTGGTTTACATTATTACATGATCAAATTGATGCAAGAACTAAATTCGATTGACCACCAGAATCGTCGTAGGTTTGTAAATTGGAAATAATCCGAATTTTCATGCAAAAATCTTCTTTAGCGATGAGACTCATTTCTGGCTGAATGGCTTCGTCAATATTCAAAATTATTATTGGTCAGGCAGCAATCTAGACGTACTCCACGAGTCACCTTTACATCCCAAAAAATTGCGGTACAATTATGATCCATAAGCCCTACTTATTATTTGTAATTAAATATAATTGGTTTCATGATGGTTTTCATTGCCTAAGCAATTCTAGATGATAAAGTCAGTGTTTTCCATCTTTTTCCTTCGAACACAATGTAGAAATCCTCTTCATCTCCTATCTTTTCAGTAGCTATTCAGATGAAGTATTCAGTGTTCAACATGTACACAATACAGTTCGTATTCTATGATATACGGCTAATCTTCTGCGATTTTCACCAGTGGATCATTCATCTTTTGGAGAATATTTCTCTAGAACACTTCAAGGACTCCATCTTCAGAATTTATTCATATCGAGTTTTCGGTACCATTGTACCATTTATTAAATTGGGCCAAATGAGAGATATTTAAAGTTCTGGAATAGTAAATTCAGGCAGTAAGAGACGCAGCGTTTTTTGAAATCTTGGATTTAATTGATATATGGTATGGTCCTTGCTTACAATAAAGTCATAATAGGTCCCAAATTTGACAGTAAAATATAATCGTTAGTGAATTTAAAGAACACTTTATAAATTTCTAGACACAATAAACTTATTTTTAAGGTCAGCTGCATTTTTAAATTCAATATTTCTCTAAGCTATACTATATATTTTGAACTTAGAACAAGCAGTGACCTTTAAAAGATAGACATTATGCTTATTAATTGCAAGTATAAAATCTTCTGGCATTTATTATGAACATATTATATATAGAC